AAATTTGTTGGAATATACTTCCTCATAGTATCCTGATATTACCCTTTTAAATTTCTGTTGGTTCTGTTGTGGTGTTGCCCAATTCATTTCTTATTTGTGTTATTTGTATTCTTTCTCTCTTTTCCTTTGTTCAATTTGCCAGTGCTTTGTCAATTTTATTAATCTTTTCAAAGAACCAACTTCTAGTCTTATTGATTTTTTCTATTGTCATTCTATTTTCTGTTTCATTTATTTCTGCTCGAATCTTTATTACTTCTTTTTTTCTGGTGACTGTAGGCTTTTTTTACTGCTCTTTTGTCATTGTTGGAGATGTTGGGTTAAGGGGTTGATTTTGGCTCTTTCCTATTTTTTGATGTATGCATTTATTGCTATAAATTGGCTTCTGATCACTGCTTTTCTGTAACCAAAAGATTTTTATATGTTGTGTTTTCATTCTCATTTGATTCAAGGAATTTTTTAATTTCATTTTTTATTTCTTCTATTATCCAGTCACTTTCAAGGAGAGTGTTATTCACTTTGGACATGTTTGCTCTTTTTCCATTCATCTTCCTATTGTTGATTTCTAAAGTTACAGCATTGTGATCTGAGATGATGTTTTGTAGTATATCAGTGTTTTTAAATTTATCGAGGCTTGTTTTATGGCCTAACATATGATCTATTCTGGAAAATGTCCCATGTGCCCTGAAAAAGAATGTATATTGTGCTGTTGTTGGGTGAAGTGCTCTATAGATGTCTGTGAGGTCAAGTTGGTGGATTGTATAATTTAGTTGTTCTATGTCTTTGTCGGGAGCTCTGGTAGCATAGTGCTTAAGGCATGTGACTATTAACCAGAAGGCTGGTGATTCAAACCCACCAGCCACTCCTCAGAAGGAAGGTTGGCAATCTACTTCCATAGTGATACTGCCTCAGAAACCCAAGGAGGGGTCGCTATGAGTCAGGCTTGACTCAACGGCACATAACAGCAACAACAACATCTTTGTTGAGTTTCTTTCTAGTTGTTCTATCTGTGCTGAAAGTAGTGTATTAGCGTAGTGCCCAAGGCACTTGACTGCTAACCAGAAGGCTGGCAGTCCAAACCCACCAGCCAATCCTTGGAAGCAAGGCTGGGCAATGTACTTCCATAGTGATACTTCCTCAGAAACCTAAGGAGGGGTCGCTGTGAGTTGAGTTCGACTTGACGGCACATAACAACAACTATGACTGGGGGCTCTGGCGGCATAGTGCTTAAGGCATTTGACTGCTAACTGGAAGGCTGGTGGTTCAAACCACCAGCCACTCCTTGGGAGGAAGGCTGGGCAACCTACTTCCTAAGTGATACCGCCTCAGAAACCCAAGGAGGGGTTGCTATGAGTCAGATCCGACTCCATGGCAGTGATTGTGTTTTGGTTTGTGTACTATGACTGTGGAGTCATCTATTTGTCTTTTCAGTTCTGTTAAAGTCTGGTTTACATATTTTGTGGCCCTTTCATTTTGTCCATAGGTATTTTTTATGGTTATGTCCTCTTGTTCAATTGATTCTTTAATTATTATATAATGTCCTTCCTTGTGTCTTATGGTGGGTTTTTGTCTTAAAGTCAATTTTATCAGAAATTAATATTGCCACTGTTGCTCTTTTTTGATTGCCATTTGCTTGATATAGGTTTTCCCAACTTTGATTTTTAGTCTATTTTTTTCTTTGTCTTTAAGGTGTATCTCTTGTAGACAGCATATTGATCTTATCCATTCTGCAACTCTTTGTTTCTTGAATGGTGCATTTAAATCCATTGACATTCAGTGTAATTATCGACAAGTATGAATTGGTTGCTGTCATTTTGTTATGTGCTTTTTTGTAGTGTTGTTGATTTCTTTATTCAATATAATTTTCTGTGCTGAGCTCATTTTGTTTATAAATAGTGTTATCACTTCCTTTGTTGCTATTGTTTTAGTATTTGCTAAATATTTGTGCTGATCCTCTTTTCATTTTGATGTGAAGTTTTATCATTTTTCTTTGAGGTTACCCTGTGATTTATAATTTTCTTCCCAAGTTTAGAACAATCCATTCTATCTTGCAGTTTTCTTGACTTCTCTGCCACTTAGAAGTTCTATAACTACACATTTTTTTCCCTCTTTTTCTTTGCAGTTGTCCTCATTTGTCAGTTGATGTCTCTGGTACCCTGTTTACAATCTTGTAGGCTTATTTACTTTATATAATTCCATAACTGGATTGGTTTCTGGGTTATGTCATCATGTGTGTTGATGGTCAGTTGTTGTTTGCTGTTGTGGGTTCTCTGTCTGAAGGACTCCCTTTAGCATCTCCTGTAAGGTTGGTCTAGTTAAATTAAATTCTCTTAATTTCTGCTTAACTGTAAATGTCCTAATTTCACCATCACATTTGAGGGACAATTTTGCTAGGCATATAATTCATGATTGGAATTTTTTTCCTTTCAAGGTTTTATATATACCATCCTATTGCCATCTTGCGTGTATGGTTTCTGCCAAGAAATCCAGGCTTAGTCTTATTGGTTGCCACTTGTAGGTAACTTCGTTTTTCCCATGCTGCTTTCAGGATTCTTTCTTTGTCTTTGGTGTTGGTGAGTTTGATGATGATATGTCTTGGTGATTTTCTTTTGGAGTCTATCCTGTTTGGGGTTCATTGGATTTCTTGAATGAATATACTCTCGTCTTTCATCATACCAGGGAAATTCTCTTCCAACAAACCTTTGACAGTTTTCTCTGTGGTTTTATTTGTCTCTTCCTGTTCTGGAATTCTGATTGCATGCACATTATTCCTTTTGATGGTATCCCACATGAACCTTAGGCTTTCTTCATTTTGTTTTGATTTTTTTTTTTTTTTTTTTATTGGCTCCTTTCCAAAGAAGTATTGAGGTATTTTTCTTCAATCTCATTAGTTCTGTCTTCCATTGGTTCAATTCTATTCCTTTGCCTGTTCAATGTGTTATCTATTTCTGAAAATTCAGTATTAAAATCCTGCATTTCTATTTGTAGATTTTGAATCATTTCTAATTTTTCACTTATTTTGTCATTTTGTTCTTGTATTTTTTTTGAAATTGTTCTAAGATTTTCTCTGTGTTTTCCTCAGTTTTATCAGTGTTTTCCTTGATCTGTCTCTCAATCCGTTGAAGGTACCTAAATATAATTCCTTTGAATTCCTTATCAGGGTGTTCCAATGCTGCTTCTTTCTCAGGGATGTGTTCTGGGTCTGTATCCTCATCCCATGTTTCTCCTGCTTTATCTTGCTTCTTTGTGTGCACTATATTGCTCTCTTGTTTCCAAGACATTGTGATGTTTTTGTGTTTATATTTAATTGGTGATTGTATATTGAAGTTATTGCCCAAGATTTTTTTTTCTTTGTGTTATCTAAGTAAGCAGGGTACTATGCTCCTCTATTTGCTAGTTGGCAGCACTTACACACTCACCACCTGTCTCTTTTCCTGTTATCATCCTCCCATATATCCCTGTTGTCCTTGGCAAATGGAGTCTATTCATAGGTCCCTGGAATCTGAACTAGAATGCTGTCAATTTACATATCCAAAATGGCCACCACTTATAAACATTCAAAATGGCTGTGCCCTCTGTCACTTTAAATATCCAAAATGACCACCACTTGTAATCAATCAAAATGGCTGCACCCTCCAGACAGCTGAAAGTCCACAGCTCAGGTTGTCTCCTTCCTTGCTGTTTCCCTTGCTAGTCATCGGCCACCAGCCCAGTTGTCCCTGCAGCCCTTAGTGACTAGGGCTGATTTCTCAGTCAATTCTCAGGTCCCAACACCACTTGGAAATATTCAGGCTGTTGGTCCTGTCAGAGTAGCTGACACTCCACAGCTCTGTCCCTCTCCATATTCACTGTTTTCATGCAGTTTTTTCTGCTATTTGGTGCCTAATTCCCTTCTGTATACTTCCTTTCCAAGTTCTGGGCTCCAGGATTATCTTCTGTATCTCTGTCAATTGGTTTCTCATTTCTTTGTTGAAGAGGGTCTTTGTAGCTTGCCTGCCTATTCTGCCATCTTACCAGAAGTCTGAAGCAACTTTGTTTTGATCCTTATCACCATCAATTAGTTTTGCTCTTTTGAACTTCATTCAAAGGGAAACATACTGTATGTACTCTTTTTCATCTGGCTTCTTTTCTTAAAAGAAAGTTGTTGAGATTAATCCATATAGTTATGTCTATCAATAGTTTCTTCTTTTTATTGTAAATTAGTTTTCCATTAAGGAGATGGCACAGTAATTAAGCGCTCAGTTGCTAACCAGAATGTTGGCAGTTTGAAGTCACCTGCTGCTCCTTGGGAGACAGATGTGGTAGTTCACTTCCATAAAGATTATAGCCTTGGAAACCCTATGAGATTGTTCTACTCTGTCCTATAGGGTTGCTATGAGTCCATATGGATTCCATGGCAATGAGAAAGTGAGATGAGGACTAATAATTGGTCGTTGGTTCTAGAATATGGAAGTCATTGATTGGTCCACATGGCTAGCAGTGCCAATAAAGTGACTGAGGAGAAAGCCTTCCTCATAGCACTTTATTCATATTTTTATTATGAAATATTATTCATAAGAATTAAGTTAGGGATAATTTTGAGATCTCTGCAATGAATTGTTCCATATCAAGAATCTATTTTCTTTCCTTGCAAACTCTCAGTTACTACTGGCCCATGAAAAGAGAGTCATATGTCATCTGGGGAAGGTCGTACCTGTCAAACAAGAAGGATGCTGATAGAAGCTTGGGGAGAGATTTAGAGATGATAAAGCAAGGGTTAAGATACTGCCTGCATGACTGAAAAGGGTCTCACATATGTCTCAGCTACTAAATTGCAACCTTCTTGAACATGCAGTGTCCACGGGTTATACAACTTCATGTAACTAGAACTGAAAACAAAGTCTCTCATATATCGGCTGCCCAAAAACATTTGTTATTAAATAAATTATTATTTAAGCTTGTTTTCATACTTTTATTTTGAAACTTTGAAAATAAGTGAAAAATTTTGGAGAAGATATACTTACAGTTGAAGTACAGGCTGAAAATGTCTTTTGAAAGCAAGTCTCACTGGGCAGCCATATGATTCCCAATCATACTTTACTTTCTAGAAAAGGAAAAATGTTTTCATTATTTTATATATTTGGCCCATTGACCACATTATAATTTTCTTACCAAGTTTTGAGATGGTTGATGCCTCAGATATGACCTGTAAAAAAAAATTTACATTATTTACTTTCCTATTTTCAAACTCAAAACTAAAAACCAGTATTTTATTTAGATAGATTTTCCTAGGTAAGAAAGTGCCACAAAAATCAAATGGATAACTATAATTACAAAATACTAAGTACTTTCCATATATATGTTTCAGACACTTTCCACATACAATAACATATTTTTACAGCAATGAACAAGATGTGAATTGTTATCCTCCACTTGTACAGATGGCACCACTGTCAAAAGTTGTATAAAACTTTCTCAAGGCTACAAAACTTGCTTTACTAAGAAGGAGGCATGATTATAAAGCCCATGTTCATTGTGTTATTCCAATGAAATTGTTTTAAAAATATTAATCAAAGAATAAACTAGTTTAGAATCAGTAATAACAGATGTGTGGTTTAAAACTTCAGCTACATCCTGAATTTAGATTTCTTGCATAATTGAGCCCTTCTCCTAATGAACTCAAAATCACTCTCTCCTAGGTGCAAATCAAAACAGCAATGAGATGTCATCTCACCCCAGCAATAATAGCCAAGTTAAACAAGACAGAAAATAACAAATGCTGGCAAGAATATAGAGGGGTTGCCACTCTTATACATTGTGGTGGTACTATAAAATGATACAACCACTGTGGAAAACTGTTTGGTGATTCCTTAAAAAGTTGGAAATAGAAATACCATTTGATCCAGCAATCCCATTACTAGGTATATATCCTAAAGAATTGAGAGCCAAGACATGAATAGATATATGCACAGGCATATTCATCATAACAGTATTCACAAAAGCAAAGAGATGGAAACAACCTAAGTGCCCATCAACAGAGAAATGGATAAATTATGGTACATACACACAGTGGAATACCATGCAACCTTAAAGAATAATGTAGAATCTGCAAAACACTTCATAATATGGACGATCTTGGAGGATATTATGCTGAGTGAAATAAGTCAATCACAGAAGGAGAAATATTGTATTAGTCCACTATTGTAAAAAATCAAGTTCAAGTTTACATATCGAAGGAAACTTTCTTTGTTGGCTACCAGGTATGAGAGGGCAAGAGAGGGAAAATTGCTAGATAGGTAAGTGACAAGTATTGATTTGGGTGAAGGGAAAGGCAATATACCAAAGTGAGTGACCAACACAATAACACTAAAGAAAAGGAAGACACAAAGAGGTGCACTAGAGGCACAGACAAAAAGATAAACTCTTTTTCACACACAGTATTGCATTATCAGTAATAACAAACATTAATCTACAGGTGGATATGTAGGTAGACAGGTTAACTGATCAGGTATGTCTAGACAAAAGAATATACTCACGACCATATATAAGTTTGGCAGATAATATTTCTACATAAGTATTTGTCTGTGCTATAAGAATATCCTATATATAATAGGGCTAACAGGGTCAAGTTATTATAACTTCTCAGCCATAGCCAAACACCCTGAGGGATGAGGCACTAGGTCCATGGGCTTGAGACCATGGTCTTGGGGGACATCAAGCACAATTGGCATAATGTACTACACAAAAACATTGTTCTACATCTTACTCTGGTGAATAATGACTGAGGTCTTAAAGCTTGAAGGTGGCCATCTAAGATGCAATTATTGGTCTCTCTTTGTCTGGAGCAAAGAAGAATGAAGAAAATAAAAAATGCATAGTAACAATTTGTCCAAGAGACTAGTGGACCATGGGAACCTCAGTCTGCATGACCCTGAGACCATAAAAACTAGATGGTGCCTGGCTATCCCTGCCAACTACTTGGAAAGGGA